GGCACGTCCTTTGGCACGTCGCCTAGCGCGTCCCTTGGGACGTTTCGCGGCGCGTCCCCTTGGCATGGCCGCCTGTCAATTAGCTCTGGGGCAGCTACTGTGTGCTCAGGCATTTCGAGCTTAAGAGCCAGATCAGTTCGGTCAGGACTCAGATGCAAAGGAATAGAGCACAATCGCGGCATGGCACATCGCAATTCAGCACGGTGCAGCACAGTATCATAGCCTTTCTAGCACGGTACATCAAGATCGATACATTCAGCATTGCAATTGCCCTTCGCCCAATCAGGTGTCTTGAAAATGTTGTCGTTCCTCACAGGTCTAGATTCCTTTCCGGGATCGTAGGTTGATCATGTTCCCAGAAAGGGCATAGGCCCAGGGTTTTTACCCAGAAAGGGCGTATAGGCCCAGGGTCTCTTTCTTAGTTGTGTACCCCAGGACGTTCCGTGGCACGTCCCCTGGCACGTTCTGTAGCGCGTCCTTTGGGCACGTGCCGCGCGGCGCGTTTCCATGGCACGTCCCCTGGCACGTCCCTTGGAACGTTCCGCGGCGCGCTCCCATGGCATGTCCCCCTGGCATCGCCAAATTACATATGCAATTGAGTTCTTCGGAAACGGTTCTATGCCCCGCCGTTGTCAATCCCGTTCCATGTTCGTGGGTCGATCGTGTCGCAAAAAAGGATTCGCGCGTGCCCGCTTGGGGGACATGCGCCCCTTCTTTCGGATCATCGATAAAAGACGGTGTCCGCGGGCACACGTTTCTCCGAGTTTGAGAACATGGTGCGGGGCGTGTTACGCAGACTCCGCTATAAAACAGGCCTTGACACGTGTCCGAACATAAAGAAGCAGTAGGCTTGTGTTCGTACCCGCTCGAGGATGGCGCGCCCAGCGCGCCGAACATCCGAGGATGTCTCGAGCGAAGCATCTGTTTTGCAGAACTTGGAGCGGCCTGGGCGCCCAGAGTGCCCAGGTGGTTCTGAGAGTCCGAACACAGCGTAGTCTACTTGTGAACGTGGCCCTGGGAGCGCGGACACAGCGCAATTCACGAGGGAGTGCGGCCTTGGGAGCGCGGACGCGGCGCAATTCACGAGGGACCGTGGCCCAGGGAGAGTGGAGCCAAAGTGATGTACGAAAGATCGCGGCCCCAGGAGCGCGGTCCTGTCGTCATGGCTTCGTCTACAGGTCGGTCGCGCGTGGCCTCTGTCTCATTCCGCGGGGCCTGGGAGGCAAAGCAAGTTTTCTGTAGCAGGAAAAGGGCTCGTCTGGGGGGAGGGCAGGGAGGAGGAGGTTGAAGGAAGAGGGGACCCCTCGGGGCGTCTTGGGGACCTCTTGGGCTCATCTTGAAGCTCTCGTGGGCCATCTTGGGGCCTCAGAGGGTAGGGATGAAGAGGAGGAGGAGGAGGTGGAGGAGAGAGGTGGTATTCTGAAGGCAATGAAGGCGAGTCGCGCGGCGCGTCCCCTGGCGAGTCCCGCGGCACGTCCACTGGCACGTTCCGGCACGTCCCGCGGTGTGTCTCCATAGGCACGTCCTTTGGCACGTCCCATGGCGCGTCCCTTGGGACGTTCCGCGGCGCGTCCCCCTGTCCCGCGGCGGGTCCCCGTGGCACAGCCCTTGGCGCGCCTCCTGTTGTTCGGCACGGCACAGCGCGGCGCAGCACAACATAGCTCCTGACACATATCGATGTTTTCAACAGTGCCACTGCCCATCGTCCGATGGAGGTCCTTTGAATCGTTGCCATGCCCCACATTTCTAGGTTCCTTTCCGGGTTCGTGGGGCGATCATGTTCCGAGAGTGGTTCGGGTCGATGTGCGAGAGTGCTCGTGCTGGGCTGAGGGCCTTCGGAAAACAGTCCGCCGTTGTGAGTTTCTCTTGGCGCCAGGGGCCGGTGGGGAGCAAGGCCGAGGGAGGAGCGCGTCCAAGAGAAGCCTCCCCCGCAAGGGCGACGCGGCGCAAACGTTCGCCGCGGACAACGGCCGCAGCGGCCGAGCCATACCCGAGGGCCCTTGGGCGGTTGCTGCCGGCGCGGCTGCCGACTGATAAGAGAAAGGGGGCGCCCGTCGCGGTGCGTTGCGGAGAACCGTGCCCCGTTCATCCTCCTCGTCCCCCTCGTTCTCGACTTCGTCCTCCCTCTCGTCATCCTCCTCGTCCCCTTCGTCCTCCCTCTCGTCCTCCCTCTCGTCATCCTCCTCGTTCTCCTCGTCCTCATCGTGGATCGGCGCCCTACAGCGTACTCTGCTCCTCTTCCTGCGTTTGCCGCCCCCGCCGCTGGCTGATCCCGCAGGTGCTGCTGCGCTTTCGCCCCGACCTGTTCTTCTGCCCCCATCGGGGGGGGGGGGGGGAACCTCGTTCAGGAGCCTGCTCCTCGGGCCAGGGGCTGCTGTTTGCTAAGCAAGCTCGCGTGGTCGTGCTTGACGGCATGGTCCTGCATCATCGCGGCGGTCGCCGCGCAAAGATCCCTGAGAATTCCTTGAATATTTGCGTCGCCCCTTTCCCCTGCAGATGCAAATGCTATGGTGGAGCCGCCGGTCGTTCGCGTCAGCGTGAATGCCGCCGTCGCCGCGGAGAGCTCGGGAGAATTCGAACGTTCCGCTTTTATGGGCAATTGCGGCGCGCCGGATTTTCGAAGAATTCCGCATGAATTCGCCAGATCCAAGTTTTCAGAAAGAAGTTGGTCCGTGCCGAAGTTGCTATGGTCATATTTGGTATGTGTGTTTTCAAACCGTACCGAGATGCATCCGGGAGCTATTCGCGCGAATTTTGACACAGAAGTTGGTAGTTTGACCGGGAGGTGGATATTGAGCATTGATTTGATTGCGTAGTTCGTCTACCATAGTACAATACTGCGCCCGGCACGGCATGTAATATCCAAGACGTTCAGATTTTATTTGTCAGTGCTTCTTCGGAATGACTCAAACGAGGCTCGTATTGACCGAGAAATATTATGGAAAAACGCTTGGCCAACGCGACCGTGATGGTTGAAGCAATGTGTTACCGGAATGTAGCATTAATTGAGCAATGTTGAGGTCGAAGTCACGATTCTGAATGACCAAGAAACAAAAAAATCAAAGTTTGCCAACAGTTCGTGGAGCCCTTGAGCTTGGGGGTTATTGTGTGTTGCATCGCGTTGCATCGCGGGGTGATGGCGGATCACCTGCAATAGATTGCCCGTGGCGATGGGGACAGAGAGATAGGGGGAAATCGAAAGGGGGAGTCAAAACTATCATGCTCCAGAGTTCGGGTCGGATGGAGCCGGAAACATATTAATTCTAGCCGCTGCGCGTAGCCCCACCAGCCCATCCAGGAACGATGCCCAGAGGAATTGCCTCGATCAGGGAAGTGGGCAGCACACAGAGGAAGAGTCCCCCAGTGGAGGCCTCTTGGAGCGTCTTGGGGGCTTCTTGGCGGTCCCGGACGCACTTTTAGAGCATCTTGGGTGCCCTGGAGAGCTTTTTGGAGCCTCTTGGGGGTCTCTTGGGAGCATCTTGGAGGCCTCTTGGGCGCTTGTTAGGGCCTCCTGGGGCCTCCTGTGCGCCTCTTGGGGCCCTCTTGAAGCGCTCTTCGAGCCCTTTTGGGCCATCTTGAAGCCATCGTGAGGCCTCGGATGGCCATCGGAAGCGAAAAGGCGAGAAAGCCAAAAACATTGATTTGAACCAAACGCGGAAACTTGAATTTTGGGTACATGTACAGATTTGATGGAAAATCGGCGTTAATTCATTTTTTTATGAAAACCGAATGTAATGGATTCCATGGTTGGACAGTGGTTTCCATCATTGGTTCCAGTAGTGGCGGATGTGTGTGTGTGTTGATAATAATCGACTTATTGTGTATAGTTGCGGACCGCAATTTCCAGATGATTGCAGAGAGATTTTGCAACTATGCATTTGCGTTCCTATAGTTGAGGACCGATTTCCATTTTTCCAGATATGTCCCCCGATATTTTCTTTGTTTTTACCTATAAAAAAAGATTCAAGTGATAAAATACTTTGATCAACCACGGACAGTGACGGCGACAATGGCGATGTCCCAGATTTCGCAAGAAATTGATTCATGATACCATGTTATATCCGAGCGCACGCTTGGTGCATGAGCAATTGTTGTTCCTTCTCCTCCCCTCCCGGTCTTCCTCCCTCAGCCTTTCCGCTGATCCCCTTTTCCTTCCACATCAAATTTGGGCGAGGAGAAGAAGGGGGCTGAATGGACGGATGAAAAAAGATTAGGAAGAGCAAGCGAAGGAATGAGGAGCAGGAGGAGGAGGGCAGACAAAAAGGCCAAAAGTGTTTTCGATGCCTTTAAGCGCCTTGTGAAATATTTCTTGGGCGCTTTTTGGTGGCCTTGTGTTACGTCTTGGGGATTTCGCGGCAGTTTGGGGGAGCTTGTTTGGGCATTTTCGGTACCTCGAGAGGCCTTTTTGGGACCGCTTGGGGTCGAGGCCTCCTGGAGACCTCCTGGGGGCCTCTTCGGGCTATCTTTGGGCTTCTGAGGCGCCTTTTGGGGCCATCTTAGACGACATCGATCAAAAAAAGGTGGTGCCTTAATTGGCCTCTCCTCCCCACGAGGCCAAAGCGCGGCCAAAACTATGATTTTGGCGCCCTCGCTGAGGCACGCTCCGACACCTCACCGTCAAAGAGCGCAACAATGATATGGACGTCTAAATTACAAATGTGGATTCGAATATTGGAAAGAGCGTGTTCTACCGCTGCTGGCGGAAAACCAGGGGGGGTCACTACCAGTTCGAACCCCTCCCCCCCCCCCCCCCTCCGGGGACAAACGGGGGAGGGTCACTACCGGTTCGAACCCCTCCCCCCCCCCCCCCCCCCAGCTCATCATGGAAAAGGGGGGGGGGGCGGGTCAATAACCGGTTCGAACCCTCCCCCCCACCCCCCTCCCCCCCCCCCCCAGCTCATCATGAAAAGGGGGGGGGTCACTACCGGTTCGAACCCCACCCCCCCCTCGAAAACCGAGTGGGGGTGCGGACAGAGGTGGGGACGGTGTTGGTGGGACAGTGGTGAGGGGACAGCGGGACAGTGGTGGGGACAGTGGGACAGTGGGACAGTAGAGGGCCGGTAGTGGTGGGGACAGTGGTGGGGACAATGGTGGGAACAGGGGGGACAGTGGACAGTGGTGGTGACGGTGGTGGTGGGGACAGTGGTGTGGGGACAATGGGAATGAGGTGGAAACAGTGGGACAGTGGAGGGTACAATGGTGGTGGGGACAGTGGTGAAGGCGGTGGCGAGGACGGCGGTGGGACAATGGGACAGGGGTACAGTGGGGACAGTGGCGGGGACAGTGGGGACAATGGTGGGAACAGTGGGACAGCTCAGTGGGACAGCGGAGGAGTCAGTGGGACAGCGGGGACAGTGGGGATAGTCGGGCAGTGGTTGGGGCCGTGGAGACAGTGGGGAGAGTGGAACCGTGGTGGGAACAGTTCCGGGGACAGCGGGGACAGTGCGACAGTGGTGGGGCCACTGGTGGGGACAGTAGGGGCGGTGGTGGAACCAGTGGGGACAGCGGTGGTGAGGACAGTGGTGCTGGGAACACCAGTGGGGGATGTGATGCGGCCGGTGGTGGGGACCGGGAGTCGTTTTGCTGGCGCGGTGAGTAGGGGGGGGGGTGGGGGAGAGGGGGGAAGGGGGGGTTCGAACCGGAGTGACCCCCCCCCGGGTTATTTCCGGATCCGGAGGGGGGGGGGGGGGGGGGAGGGGTTTCGAACCGGTAGTGACTGGCCCGGTGTTCGAGCGGGAGGGGGGCGTGGGGGGGGAAGGGGGTAGGGAGGCGGGGTTTTGACGGGCGAGGGGGGGGGGGAGGGGGGGGGGGGGGGAGGGGTTCCAGCAGGGGGGGGGGGGGGGGGGGGGGATTTTCGGAGGGGGGGGGGGGCGACCCCCGGGTTCCAGAGGAAAAGGTTGGCAATTTTCCACAGTAAAGCGGCGGTGGATCACGCTCTCTCGAATATTGAGGATGTGGGGTGTTTTTGGTGACATGTAAATACGAGTGACTCGTTCGGGACACACCTTGAAAGAGCACGTCAAAGAGCAAATGGGGTACCACGGGTTTCGGTCATCAGCATTGTAAGCTCGAAACATAAAAACTACTACGTTTCTTTCCGGTAGTACCATGCTATGAGGACAGCATGAGAACGAACGACGAAGACTTACGCAAACGTACCAAGAACGCGCGCGTGAAAGCGAAGAGACACGCCAAACGGGAGGGCGGACAGCTCCAACGTGCCGAATGCGTGTTGGGAGGGCGGCGGGGGGAGGCGGAGGAACACGATTAAGAAAACAATAGAGATAATGAAGAATTGGTATTTGGCAAGATGCAAGACGTAATATTCTTCTTTTGAGGCGATGTTCGTAGTGATTTGGGGTGTGATTTTTCTCCATTTGACTTGGTTCTCCAATATTGTGTAGAACGTTGTTACACCTTGATGTGGCGTATAATTTTATATTTGAAGGTTCACTTCCACAAAATATGGTTGTAGGAGTGAATTCCGGCCAGCTTTGCCAAGAAATATCATTTATTATTATCGTGAGGATGGAGGGGTATGCAATATTTCTTTTGTAAATTTCGCCTGGAAGTTGTCCAATCTCTTTTTGATTGCACGGATTCCGCCAAACGAATTGAACGTATCATTCTTTTGTTCGAGATTCGAATATGTTTGTTTTTCCTTTGGACAGTGATTGCTGCATGTTTCTAGAATTTGGTATATTGGGAAAACCCACCGCAAATTGCATCAATTTGTTTGTTTGTTTTTTTTGTTGTATTGGCTATCTCGCAAGAGCACATGAATGTGATGAGAAATGTATTCCTATGTACGTCCAGATTTGGTGTTTGTTCCTTCTTGGTGCGGCGATCACAACCAAAAGTTCTTGCAATGATTCTTCATGGTAAACAAATATTATCAAACCGGCAACACCGGATTCGGTATCCAAACAACGGTTTCGGTATCCGAGGAACGGTTTCGGTATCCAAACACCGGTTTCGGTATCCACGACACCGGTTTCGGTATCCATCGACATCGGTTTCGGTATCCATCGACACCGGTTTCGGTATCCATCGACACCGGTTTCGGTATCCATCGACAC